CCACACTTCCTGCCCCTTCACATACTTCTTGATATTAAGGGTGACGTCAGACATAAACACTGATGCTAATTGGCTTATTAGTATTCTTAGGAATTATCAATATTATTGACCCTGGGAGTAAATGTGCAGCTCTTATTATGGTCCGGGATAACTGTGATGGTGTGGGTAGTTAGGTATTATGTTAATTGTAGCAGTAGTAGTAATATTAATAATAATAATAATAATAATTACTATTATTACCACTGCTACTACTACTAATAATAATATAATAATAATAATGTGATTCAGCAAATTGAACATATATTAATATTAAAAAATAATGAGGCTGTCACTGGTGACAGCCTCAGATATTAGTTTAGTCAACCAATTAAAACTGAAATACTGTAATTATATATATATATATATATATATATGTGTGTGTGTGTGTGTGTGTGTGTGTGTGTGTGTGTGTGTGTGTGTGTGTGTGTGTGTGTGTGTGTGTGTGTGTGTGTAAATTGTGGGACCCATAGCCTCGGAAAAGTGGATAAAAAGGCTTCAAGGAAGAATATTTGGATTTCTTCTTGAAGCCGTTTGAATATTCCACTTTCCCTACCACCCCATCTTTTCATATTTTTTTTTTACCAGTAGGAATATTTTATTACATAATATGGTACAAAAGATTTAAGAGATACATTGTTGATATAAAGGTGGCATATACGGTACATGTTATGCGTGTATCACCGATTATAGGGCGAAAATCTCATCCAGCTCCTCAGAGCTGGGGCGTGTGCCCAAAATACAGCAAGCATTACCCCTTTGAACAGCCGCACTGAGCCGCTGGAACAGAAAACTAGCTGCCCTGGGATCCCTAGTTACCCTGATACCCTGGATACTTCAGTTCACTACAGGTATTGACTAACATATTCAGTGTAACTTGTTCCACTGGGAAATACGATCTTTCACAAACCCCAGAAGCAGTGGTGTAGGGGGGTGCTTGCTGGGGTTAACACATCCAAGTCCCTTTACGGGAAATTTGACGCTTCAAAAATTTTCTTGTATGCACAGATCTGCGTTTTTGTCTGTTTACCATATTGTTGTGATGTATTATTAATGTGGGGAAAAAGAACTTTGTGGTGACAGTTTACACAGTTGTACACAGCTGTAGATGTACACAGCTGTAGATGTACACAGCTGTAGATGTACACAGCTGTAGATGTACACAGCTGTAGATGTACACAGCTGTAGATGTACACAGCTGTAGATGTACACAGTTGTAGATGTACACAGTTGTAGATACACACAGCTGTAGATACACACATCTCTAGATATACACAGCAGATAACAGGAAAACACCTGGAACAGTTGATAAATATCGACATTTTCATATCTGTATAAATTTGAGAGTCATTGTAGTTCTTGACGACTTTGTTTCCTCCACAGTAATAAAACTGAGTGACAGAGTATTTACTTAACCTTTAATACACATGAGTATACAGGATTACTTAACACAGATATCCTGGATTACTTTACATGGTATACTGGCATACTTTACACATATACTGGATTACTTTCAATTATACTTTATTATTTTTCCTACCTATCTACTTGTTAATTCACGGGGGAGCACTGCCCCTGATCCCAGATTGTGTCTGGTTTATAGCCTCGTCATTTAGGTTGTTGGTGCTATCTGCAACATAGTCTAACATATACACCACAGCCTGGCTGATCAGGAAGTAGTACGCTGCTGCATGTGTTGACACTACTATTTTACATATATAATTACGAAAGCAATAATGATGGTCTCGTCAAAATCAAAATAGTTTTCGGAATCAAGATTGTCATCATCCCTTGTACACGGGTCTTGTTCAGATGATTAGAAGCTTGGTCTGGGACTGGGCAGCTGGAAAATTTAATTTCCATAACCATCAGCAGATCTTTAGATAAATTCTCCAGGTAGCAGGTTAATTACACCCCAGGTAAGTTTTACACCACATTTAACCCCCCCCCCAAAAAAAAAGGACTTTATGTAGTAGCATTGCAAGAGGATGAAGTTAGTGTTTTTGTGTGTTTGTGATCTTACATTGCTGGCCACCAGCCAGTGTTTGTATTATTATTATTATTATTATTATTATTATTATTATTATTATTATTATTATTATTATTATGGGTTATTATTAGTTTGCCAGAGTTGATTAAACCTCCTGAACTCAGACTGGGCCCAGTATATATAAAACATCACCAACAGCTGGTGATGTTTTATATATACTGGAAAGTACTGGGGAATTACACACACTGAGGAGGATCTTCGTTGAATGTCAAATGATCTGATGAAGCTTTTCTTTCCTATTTGGCTCTTATGGTTTGTAGTGGAGAAATAAACAGAATTCAGTCACCAAGACGTGTTTGCTTGGCTTTGTCGAAGCTCCTGGAGAGCGAAACGTTGCCACAATAAAATGTCACATTAGTTTAACATGTGTTCTTTTACTCAACAGTAAAAATACCTAGGTGTTGCACCAGTTTTTTTTATTCATCTTTCTGTGTGTCGGTTTTGTATGTCAATGCTGTATAGCCCTTGTGGCTTAGCGCTTCTTTTTGATTATAATAATAATAATTTGTATGTCAATGTAAAGGGAGAAATAACTGTATTACACAATAAACTGTGATAAATCGTATATATGAGAGATTGAACAACCCTTATGAGAGAGATTTTTGAATATAGAGTTTGACTAAATAAAAAAAAAATTAATAACAAAAAAGGCACAATACCGTGACTGGAACGATACACAAATAGTCCGACTTGGACCATTGACTTTATCAATGGTCCAAGTCGGACCGAAACGTCGTCGTAAGCTTCTCTCTTTTATCTGTGGGTTATTTGTGTAAAAAAAAATTCATTGTTAAAACAGGTGAAGAGCTCAATGTGATCTTTGTTTACATTAAGAGATCTGGTCCGGGAGCGGCTGCGGGAGCACTGACCCCCAGAACCGAATAGACCGCAGATGTCATCCACATGCCTCTCATGTTATCTACTCTTCTTCCTAAGAGCTTAATGAATATAATAATAACCAAGATTTTTAGAGAGGTGGACCGGTAAGCCAGCGGAAGGCCTCGGTCAGATGATCAAAAGCTCCAGCTGTAGGTCATCATATGACTAAGGCCCACGTCATACATTATACCTACCGACAAACATTATACCTACCTACTGTTTTTCCATTACGTGATGTTTAGATTTGCTCTGCTTATAGCAGAGCAAACCTTAATTTTCAGATTTTGCTCTGCTTTGAGTGAAAGTTATGAATTAGACATGTATGCAAAGCTTTGGAATTTTTATTGCAATGCATTTTGCTCCTGTTGAGTGAGACATGTATCGTTATACATTGTACATGTGTGTGATTTATACTTTGGTTGGTATTATATACCTCATGAGTGAAACCTTGGGTGAATATGAATGTGTTTTCTGTGTATTTTTGTTCTAGCATATCTGTTGGCATTATGTCCTTCACACCTGTCGTTTCACTGAGCGAATCTGCTTGGACTTCCTACTCATTTCTGCACCACGAAAGGCCTAGAGCTATCATTCAACTCTCCTTGTGTTTGTTTGGCATACAGAGATAATTATCAATCTTTTTTTCCACTTTAATACCTTATACTCCCACTATTATTTATTGATCTCAACAGTTGTATCCGGCAAAGTCAGTCACTTACATAGTCCTACTCCTCCCTGTGACTTATTTACTCTCTCACATCTATATACGATGGTGGAGGGGCGTGGTGGAGGGGAAGGTGTTGGTGGGTGGAGGAGAGAGAGTTGGAGTTGCTGTCCTAGCCTCACATGTCGGCCTGAAAGTTTCATGTCCACCACTGGCCTCCCCTGCCCTGACACCTCCCACAACTTGTGTTACAAGATTCTGTGGCCTGGGAGCTGTAGCTCTGCACCAGCTAGCCACAGTCATGTGAGGTGTGCAGTACCTCTGAACTCTGCAGTCCCTTCTAATTCAAAGAAGTAATTATGTGCACATAGAAGCACATAGGTAATCTCAGAGAGAGAGAGATGGACAGACAGACAGACAGAGACAGACACAGATGCCTCATTCTGTAATAAATTATACAGTACTTTTGTTTGTGACAAAACAGACATGTCCCTCAGGTGCCTCACACACAAAAAATTGCATTTTTATAAACCAGAATGGATGGAGATTTGAACTGTGATCCTGAATGGTAGCAGATCCAGAGTTCTACTACTGCTGTCACTCATTCAGGACCATGGTTTGAATCCCCTTCCCTTTTTCTGCTTATTCATTGACAGTCATCAAATACGACTTGTTCCGTTATTATGTTTCACAGTTTTTCTTGTGGCTGGGAGCAAATATTTTTTGAAAGTGAATAAAATTTTGTTTGTGAATTCTTTACAGTGAAAATCTTTTATGCTAGTTTAGTGTCAGTGTGAACTGTTAAATATAAGATTTTGTGCCACTGTTGAGGTTACCTGGGTATTGTTGAGGTTACCTGGGTGTTGTTGAGGTTATCTGGATGTTATTGAGGTTACCTGGGTGTTGTTGAGGTTATCTGGGTATTATTGAGGGTAATTAATTGGGTGTTGTTGAGGTTACCTGGGTGTTGATGAGGTTACCTGGGTGTTGTTGAGGTTAAACATGTTATCAGGCATTTATATGCATTTTAAATTGAAAAAAAAGGATATGTTTCACTTTACAGTGATTTTTTGCTTTACATCAGTAACTTGGAACCTAACTTGCTATATAAGTGGGCCTGCCTGTATATTTTACAAGTGTCTGCCTACATTTAGTAAATACATTATTTTTCTAAGTGCTTCTTAATATTTCTTAATCCTGTAATACATAGTTTTTTTCTAACCTAGGAAGCCTGGTCTAAGAGCAGGCCTGGTCTGAGACCAGGTCTGGTCTAAGAGCAGGTTTGGTCTGAGACCAGGCTATGGGGGAGATAAACCCTAGAACCACTAAGAGATAACAGAAGAGGTGTAATATATCATTTTGTTGTCACAGATCGTAACCACAGACAGAGATATCATGAAGAAGGAACTGAAGAAAGTAACCCGTGAGCGAGATGAGGCCCTGGGCAGACTAGTGGGCAGTGTCCACCACCCTGACCAACCTGCCAATTATGGTAGGTCTGCCACCACCACCTGCTGTTACTGTTCCATTCAAGATCAGTGCCTTCATGTTTCTCAACCACTCTTCACCCAAGAAATAGAGCTGCTCTCTATTTTCTTGAATCAAATCTAATTACCTCCCATTTCCCAGGTTCTGTACGGCTCCTATGGGCTTAGTGCTCCTAAATATAATTGTAATAATAATCATAATGATGATAATGAGTGAGCATTCTCACATACATAATGAGTGTGTAGTTTCCAACTGTTTAAAGAGGCTACAGTATATACCTACTGCCAGACTCGCCCATTTATGTAATTTACTCACTGGAAATTAACCTAATAAATAATGTTTAATTCTGTTGGTCGCTTGGTGTTTAAAATTTGAAACATATTGAATAAAAAAGTGAAGTGTGTGTTGTTTCTTGAAGATTGATTTTTCTTTAATATGCCACCTACGGTTGAAGGGCTCTTGATCCCCTCATTGCTTCACATTTCCTGCTCAATAGGAGGGGTAGAGATATTAGCAGTTTTGAACTGTAGTATCAGGGTCCCTCTGACAAGACATTGAGTGATGGTGAAAGCATTTCTTCTTTTTTTGGGGTCACCCTACCTCGGTGGGAGACGACTGGGGTTGTAAATAATAATAAAATATTATTCCCCTCGTGTTTACCTGGAGTTTACCTGGAGAGAGTTCCGGCGTGTGTGGTCATCCCTAGATTTTCTTGTACACTTGTTACTAACCTCAGCCCTTGTTGCAAGTTAGTTGAGAGGTGGGGCAGGGGAGGGAGCACTATTGATGCTGGCAAAGGGCTTTTATTCTGAGGAATTGGAGCTTCCTTCTACTTTGCATCAACCCAATTACATCCCATTCCTCAGGAAGTGTATTGTATAAACCTTTCAGATTTAGAACTTTACCATTTGTCTCCATTCACTTGATAGGAGTGAATGGAGACAAATGGTTTTAATACTTGACGTGCTGTTGGAGTGTGAGCAAAGTAACATTTATGAAGGGATTCAGGGAAACCGGCAGGCCGGACTTGAGTCCTGGAGATGGGAAGTACAGTGCCTGCACTCTGAAGGAGGGGTGTTAATGTTGCAGTTTAAAAACTGTAGTGTAAAGCACCCTTCTGGCAAGACAGTGATGGAGTGAATGATGGTGAAAGTTTTTCTTTTTCGGGCCACCCTGCCTTGGTGGGAATCGGCCGGTGTGATAATAAAAAAAAAAAAATAATTATAATGGTTAATAACAGGTGAGCACCAGTTGCCTGCATAAGAAATAATAATTCAGCATTAAAAGGATGAGGTACAAGTGTGTAATCAAATGACAGAAAAATGGTAAATTGTCACATTTATTTAGGTTGCTGTGTGAAAATGGTACCGGACACCGAGGTGATGTTTCAGAGAGTATTTTATCAAATATTGGGTTTCTGATTTTTTGCTCATTTTTATTTCAGGAACTTTAACAAAGCAGGGTGGTGGGTCCCTAAGTGATAAAAGCTTAGGCTCCTCCCGAGATTATGAGAGTCTTAAGATGCAGTGTGAGAAAGCCATGGCAGAGGTTCAAGGACTCCTCAAGTAAGTTCACATTAGTAGGTATAATGGTGGTCAGGAAATAGGACAAGTGTTTCCTGATGCAGGTCTTAGTCATATGATGGCCAGCAGCTGCAGCTTTTGGTCATCTGACCAAGGCCTTCTGCTGGCTTACCCCTCAACCCCTTTAAAAAGTATAGTAATGATTATAACCAGTTCCACATTAGTGAAACAGGTTGATCCTTAGAAACTATATTTTTTATATATTTTAATTGATTATACAGAGTATCTATGTAAAGGGAACAATAATGATTATAGATCACTGAGTTTTCAAAAGGGTTGTCCTATGGTTTCTAGGTCAGAAAAAGTTCTTTCTTTGCTAAAAACAGATGGCCATGTTTTACAATAGCTGCCAGCTATTGCAAAACATGGTGTATGGAGTGGCAGAGACTTGATGTTGTATATCAATCAACTTCTATAGTATTAATAGAAAACAACCCAGTTTCTTACACACTGAACTGGAGTGAAAATGGTATAAAATACCGACACGATGGAAAAAAAAGACACTGAGAAACGTATGCAGCATATATAATGCAGGCCTTTATTGATAATGATTCACCCACACAATGGGCTTTATCAAGTCACAAACAGATAAACCTGAAGAGGGCGGATGAGCCTGACATGAGGTGAAGAGGCAGGTTAGGTGTATTGAAGCTAAAATCTTTGGTAGGTTTGAAAACATGTTGGACAAATATAGGATGGAGAAGTTGGCCAGTGGGCCTACTACAGTGCAGCTTCATTATTGTGTACAGTGATACCTTAGTGTAATGGACTAATAAGAGGAAAAAGGTGTCCATTCAAACAAAAATCTGTTGCACTGGACTGCTTCCATTTCATTGGTAGACTACTATACTGTATAGTATACATGTAAATTATTGCGATGTGGGGGAAACCAATCTAGAAGTTTCCTGTCAAGAGGATCAGCAGTGTTGTAGAAGTTGTATGTCTGGTTAAAATGTTGATGAGCAGTTTTGTATCGTCCTTTGCAGATGACTCTAAAATAAGCATGAAAAGTCACTTCAGTAGAAGACTATGAAAAATTACAGGAAGATATAAGCAGTGTTTTCCAGTGGGCAGTGGAGAACGTGATATTCAATGGTGATAAGTTCAAACTCCTTAGGTATGCAAAGAATAAAAAAATCAAAAGGAAAACTGTATACAAAGAGAATCATCAAATAGAACTGAACACGTATAAGAGTTGAGAATAATTATGTCAGCTGGCCTTGCTTTCAACAAACACAAGACAGAGATCATGACAGCCAGGAGAATGATGGGGTGGGTAATGAGAACCTTCAAAACAAGGGAAATAATGCCAGTGGAGACATTTTTCAAATCACTAGTGCTCCCTCATTTGGAATATTGTTCAGTGTTGATAGCCCCATTCAGGGCAGGAGAAATATCAGAGCTGGAACAAATACAGAGATCGTTCATGGCCCGCATAAGGCCAGTAAAGCATTTAAATTACTGGGAATGTCTTAAAGTTTTAAATATGTACTCACTGGAAGAGAGGAGAGAGAGATGCATGATAATACAGCCTCTCCTCACTTAGCAACGTACTCGTTTACTGACGACTTGGACTCACGACGGGCTCTCTGACCAGTATGCATACCTAAATAGTGTATATTAGAGCTGATTTCCTCTATTCTGTTCATTACAATATACAGTTCACTACTGTATAAACATTTAAAAATATACTAAAAATGTTATAAATGGTGCAAAGGTGACAGTAAAGCAATATCAAAGATGGTTGACAAACCCACTACCATTATAGTATGCTCCTCATTTAGCGACAAATTCGTTCATCATCGCTGTATTAGGCACGGAACTCCATCGATAAATGAGAAGCGGCTTTATATATCTGGTCCCAAATCTGCACACTGCTGTAACAACACACTGGAGTGAGAGATGTGGGAGGAAGTGCAAAATAAACCCAGTGAAAAGCAGGGATGCAGTGGGCATAATAAAGGAATATTAATTTCTGTGGCCCCAGATCATTCAGCATCTTACCAGAAGATACTAGAAGCACTGCAGGAACACGTGTAGAAGTCTTCAAGAGGAAACTGGACAAGTATCTTCACCAGGTGCCAGATCAACCAGGCTGTGATGGATATGTGGGGCTGCAGGCCACCAGCAGCAACAGCCTGGGTGACCAGGCTAGCACCAGACGAGCCTGGCCCATGGCCGGGCTCCGGTAGTAGAAAGACTCTCGGAACTCATCAAAGGTAAAGATATTCTAGGATTTGGCATCTGTGGATGTCATCTTTCTTTGCAATGAGTCTTTCCTGGTCCTTTTCCTGCCAAGATCATGAGGTTCAGTCCTTGCAGTCTCCTCATCATATATACCTTTGAGGATGTGTTGAAGGAACTGAACCTGATGACCATGGCAGAGAGGATGACTTTCTCCAGTAGAGTTCCAAGCCCCATATCCCACTGATGAAATTTTACATGCTGTAGAGAGCTGCATTACCTGGGACCTAACAACACTGATGTGCAACATAATATGATTGACAAGATTAACTTGTCATACTAAATTAGTCACATCATTGAAGGATCCATATGTAAGCTGTGATTATTCTTTTTTTTATCATTAAATTAGCATTAACCAGAGATGATTTTTTAAACTTACGTAGTCCTTTATGAAGTTTTTAAAAAAGTATTTGCAATTTTTTCAAATTTATTTGAAATAATATAAAACAGAAGCATTGTGTTGTTATTACTGAATCACTCTGAAAAATTAATTTTATTTGAGGTTATTAAATTTGTATGTTATTCTTTTGATTTGTAACTAACATGAGGCAAACCATTTTTTGATTAGTCTTGTATTTTTTCATAATTAGACTTGGTGGATTTTTTTCCTCTTTTTCTTGTGCCAAAATCCAAAACATTTGAATTAAAAAATAAATACTATACATACATTGAAGCTGATATATAGTTACATCCTCAGGCAAAATATGGAGATTAACAGAAAGTATGAAAATACAATGAAGGAAGTAGATTACTATAGAAAACAAGAACGTGCTGCTTATACAGCTCTGCAGAAGTTAAGAATGCAGTATGAGGAGGTATGTGCAAGTGATAGTACTTAATTCAAATTCAGTTTTATTTCTTTGCATAATATACAATGTGTGATTTATATGTAATAAAATATTTTTAAGTACAAAGAAAGCCACTACTAGCATGACTGAGCATTTTGGGCAGACTAATCCTAATACTTATAAACTACTAATTACTGAGATACCTTACTTAGTCTTTAGGATACTTTTCTCTAGGCTTGTATTACTGTTTTTGAGAGCACTTCTGATAAAATTTATATTTTTTTATAATTTTGAATTAATGTGTAAATACCATACATGCACCAACATAATTCATTCTCAGTTTAAAAGATCAGTGATTGTTGTATAGCTCTGCATCACCCATTCCATGTTTACTGTTTTTCTCCAAATTATATTTTGCTTTTTGAAATTAGATTAGGTTAATGTAGGATAGGTTGGGTAGGTTAGGTTGGGTTAGCTTAGGTCATATATGTACACTGTAAAAAAAAACCATTTATCTGACCACAAACAAATAAAGAACAAAAAGGCACAATACCATGACTGGAACAATACACAGATAACCTGCACATAGGATATTGAAACTTAGTACGACATTTCAGTCTGACTTGAACCATTAACTAGTTAATGGTCCAGATTGGACTGAAATGTTAAGTTTCACTCTCCCACAAACAATTAAAAAGCACGCCATGATATGTCTGGCAACGAGGTACTGGGGGAAAAATAAGAAACCTTGAATGATTCACATGTATTTCTCTTGGTGCAGTAATGGGCTGGCCAGTGTTGTACATACAAGGATTAAGTGACATGGAATATCTCTCCTCCTCCTTCCTTTTCCCTCATGCCCTCCTACCACACACAGATTTAACTAGGAACACACCATTGGCAGCTGGTTTGTTAGTGCGATAATTTTAGCCAAAATGTAGTGGTCATCCTCTTAAAATTCTCACCACTACAGCATAATCTTCATCACTCCTTTAGTAAAGATTATTTTATGGAATTTTAATATTAGTGTCATTATAGCAACATTTGCTGAAGTATATATAGTCCCATTGTATTCTATTTTCAATAAATAGCCATATAATTTAAAGAAATATATCCTCATTGGCTTTTCCAGACATCACGTGATTAATCTTTGGTACAGTACACCTTATTGGTCTCAATAGTAGTACCATTGGATAATTTATAAGGAAATGCTTGGAATATTCAGCCAAGCACTTGTACAAAATAAAACAAAATCCGTAGAATACTTTAAAAACTGTGTTTAATGGTTTAAGCAAAACCAAAAAATCATTTTTGGGGGGAGGAGATGTCTTATTGAATCTCAATATTAACACATTAAGAAAATATTAATGAGACACAGCTACTTTAAAAGTGCTTCAGACCTCACAGCTCTACTATATTATTTTAATCATACTGTAATTTTCATCTTCCTAAGGTTGTTGCAGAAAAGCAGAAATTGGAGCGTGAAGTTACGTCGTTGCAAACAATAATGGAAGACGATCGTAAAGAGATAGCTGACCTTCGACGGCAACAGCAGGTCAGCAACCTACTAGTACGAGCGTTTTCGATCGTAGATGGAGCATCACAAAACTAATCACTAACCCAGGCAAAGTGACTGGTTTTACAGCAATTCTTTTTGGTATACTCACCTTTAATTCCTGTGAGCTCAAGCTGCACTCAGATATGTAACTAAATCAGCAACTTTGAGTCTTAACAGTTTTGTCATCTAGCTCCATTGTCCACATAGTCAATCATTTAAGCCTGCAGTATTCTCATGCTCCTGAGATACAAAGTTGCCTATCGTGTTGCACATTCTGATTCCCATAATTTCAGAGCTACACTAATGATATTGTAGTCCGCTCCCAAGTTTTCCATGATGCTTCTCATTAGTTATTTTTTTTCAAACCCATGATAAATGATTAATTTTATTCCAAGACTTGCAGTCCATAAGGCTCTGCAAAGGACTTCAGTAGGTGTGCCTTGTATTTTGTGTGATTCTTCTTGTATATTAGCCAAGATTTAATGCACATTAAACTTCAAACACTCCCTAAATTAAGCACAAATCCCCACCATTTGCAGCTGTGACACTTTTCTGTCGGCTTGAAAAGCGTTAAATGTTGTTAGCTGAACTTGGTAGACTATGTAGGTAGCCCTTACTCATCAAGCTTATTCTCTGCTCTGTCCTGCCAATTCATGTTAACAAATAACAAGTGTATAACAAAAAGTTGTGGTTGAATTTATATGGAAATTAATGCAGTTTGTTGTATGTGTTTCACTTATTTCAGTATCCACTTTAGCTTTGCAATATTTCTGGGATGGTGGTGGTTTAAGTGAATGTGAGAGGAGGGTCTTTGTTTTTTGTCATTTTAAGTAATATTCCTTTTCTCTGGTAGAATATACTGTAATATCATTGAAATGCTATCTAACTGCCACTTGGTATCAAAATAAAAAATTATATTTTCCCAAGTATTTTTTTAATGTTATACTAATATAAACAAATAAGGCAAAAAGAGTGGGTGTTTTATTCTTTATGTTTGTGTGTGTGTGTTTGCATGTGTGTGTACTCGGCTGTTTGTGGTTGTAGGGTCAAGTCTCAGCTCCTGGTTCCCCTTAACTTTCAATTCTTCAGATTTACTGCCTCGCAGCCCTGTGCACCCCTATCGTACCTTCTTTTCAGCTATGTGTGGAGCCTGCCTCCACCACTTCCTCACTAAGATCACTTCATTTCCTGACCATATTCCAGTGTCTCATCTATGTCTTTAACTTCCAGCCACGTCCCTGAGTTTACCTTTCTCATCTCTCAAACATCCTGTCCCTATCTGCCCTATCAACTTCCCTGAGCATTTTGTATGTTCTTATTACATCTCCCTTGTTTTTTCTGTCTTCTAATGTCATTACATTCAGATCCATTAACCTCTCTTCATACTTATGCACCTTTTCCAGTTTCTTAATATACTTTTTCAGGTGTATGTGTTGTATAAAAGTCCCTGCATGATGTGTGCATATATATGTGTTATGTATGCTGTACATGTCTCAGGCAAGACAGTGATTAAATGAATGATGATGAACGTGTTTTTCTTTCTTTGGGGTCACTGTACTGTGGAGAGGCATCTGTTGAAGTTAAAAAAAAAAGTTCTAGGAAGGATTGAAGAAGAGGGTGTGAAGGTTTTGAGTGATAAAGACTTGGGCATCCAACAGGCATGTATGGGGGTGTTACATGGGACTGAATGAAGACAAGTGGTCTGTAGAATTTGATATGCTGTGGAATGTCAGCTCATTAACATTCATGAAAGAATTGAAGGAAACTAGTTAAACAGATTTGAGTTCTGGAGGTGGAAAGAACAGTGCTTGCATTCTGAAGGTTTGATGGGCTGTTGCAGTTTTGAGGGTCATTCTAATTGTGATGTCCATGTGTGTCTGGCAAGATGGTTACTGAATGAATACTGGTGGATAGGGTTCCTTCTTTAGGTCCCCATATCTTGGTGGGAAACAGTTGATGTAATAAGAAAAAATGTATGTATATGTATGTATGTATATTAACTAATAACTGATGGGTGAATTTAAAGCTGCACTTAAAACCATTGTGAAAATATAAACAATCCCACTAAATTTCACCAGAAAGCAATGTAAATGTAATTGATGTTAAAATCTACAGACAACTGTGACACCAGCAAAGTAATACAAACCGTCCTCTCCCATCCAGTACATTTTATTTTGTGGTATAAATCAATGGTTGGATTTCTATTCAAATGCTTGGTTTAACTGATTCTTATTTATAGGGCAATTAACAATGTCCTTGAATGTCAAGAATTAAGATGGTAATTTAAAGAGGCATTGATGGGAGTAGCTCATGATGAAACAGTGTGATCAAGCAGTATGTTTACTGTCAATAACCTTCAGTAAGTGTGCATGACTGTTGCCATTCAATTTTTAGATATTTGTCAACATTGATGAAAAAATGTGATCTTCAAGGTTTTAAATATGCTAGTTCCCTTCTCATATATTGTAGAAGATAAATGTAGTTTGCCAATAACCCTTTATGTTTCAACGTGGAACAGTTGGTGTCCTGCCCCCTAAACTAGGAAGGCATCAGAAGCTTAAGCTGGGAAGAAGTAATCATAAAATGTTCCTATTTGTATTATCGCTTTTTTGTCATAATGTAAAATCCCATCTGGTGCATTCATCAGTGACCTAAAATCATTTTTAAGTTGATTTCATGTCAGATGAGATGCACCAAAAGATGCCTGCTGCCATCATAGTTGAAAATATCCTTACCACTTTTGCTTAACAGACCCAGTCCTAACCTTTCCCCCTCTCTCTCCCCTGCCCTCAGAAGGTTAGATTCCCGCTCAAAAGACAGGTGGGTCTTACCCCCTTAGTGGATGACACTTGCATGATCTACTGCTAACAAAGTACTCTGGGTTCTGACAGTACGGCACAGAGCAAGGGATTCTTGGTCCTTGACCATAAATCCTATGCTCAGCATTTTATTTGCTACAGGTCATGAAACCTTTTGTACAGTGAATGCATTGATACTAAGTGCGTTATAAATCAGTCATAAATTGTAGAACCCATGCTTAGTGATACGTTTACTAAGCAGGCTTTCTGACATATTATGCAGTGATTATTTGGCATGAAATCAAAGCATGGTAAGCATGTTGTGAGAATGAATTATATGTAATATATGAGCATTACCATACATTCTTACTTCTTTAGATAGTGATTTTTTCTGAGTAAATGTTTACATTTATATTATATTGTGTTCATGTTTAAGCTCTAGCTAGAAAATTGGATGATTCTGTATTTGTGGTTCTTCATTAATGGACTTTTTTCTCATTGTAGATTCGAGTATTAGTTTTTTTTAGGATGTAGATACAGAAAATTAGGCCACTCATCTAGATGCAAGGTTCATTATTCTGTATTAAAAGTACTTTATATTCTTTTAAGTTAAGTATTTGTTCATAAATAAACTCTTAGAGTAAGTCCACAAAAATAATTAACAGGTAATGCCTGGAGAAAGATGAGCTAAGTTGGTGCACCAGTAATAAGTGTTTGTTAGTCAGGTTAGAGTTGTGTGCACTTGAGTAGTTTGCTTTGCCACTGTATTCCAAGAGTCATTTATCCACAGAGCTTGCAGTGCACGTGAAATTACATTGAAATTTGTCTAATTAATGGAAAGGTGACCTGTATATAATGCATAGATAACCCGCACATAGGAGAGAGAAGCTTACAACAACATCTCAGTCCAATTTGGACCTTTTACACTGTGCGACTTTGTGAATGGTCCAAGTGGGACCAAAATGTTGTCATGAGCTTCTCTCTCCTATGTGCGGGTTATTTGTGTATAGGTTCAGTCACGGTATTGTGCCTTTTTGTTCTGTATATCATATTAATAGCCAGTTATAGTTTAATAAACACTTTCAAAGAAGTTAGTGATATGCAGTAATACCATTCTTTAGACAAATGAAATTAATTAATCAAAAACTATAAGAGCAAAAGCTAGCTTTTGAGCTACAGGACTTTTATATTACAACATAATATTTGATCCAAAAATATATAAGCAACTGCTTTTTTAACTTACAAAAATTATTACTGTAATGTTATAAGAGAACACTCCCATTTAAATTACCTTTTTCAATAGACTACAAAAGATAATGGGAAAATTATTATTCAATCATTATAAAAGATTAGAGTAATTTTTCAATTTTCTTGTTAATGCTTGAAAAGACTGTGTTAACCCTTTGACTGTCGCAACCCCAAATCCTGAGGTGTCTCCTGGTGTCGAAAATTTTTTGAAAAAAAAAAAAAAAAATTCTTTCTTATGAAATGATAGAGAATCTTTTCCCGATGATAATGACACCAAAATAACGAAATTTAATGGAAAACTTACGGAATTACGCTCGTAAAGTTAGCGACCTCAGCGATATTTACGAATCGGCGATTTCGCCCACTTTGAGCCCTATTTTCAGCTAATTCCATTGTTCCAGTCGACCAAATTCATAGCTATTTCTTTAGAACTCCATTTGTTCTGCCAATTGAGTACAAGAAAATGCCCATTTACTGATATCAACTACCCAATAATGTGGTCAGAAATTTGCAATTTGGCCAATTTCACGCAAATTAAAAAATATGTCAGTTTCAAAATAGGGTCCAGAATGAACAATGCAGACATTCCTAGCTCTAAAATAACATTTTCTCTGTTCATCAGTCACATCTCCAGGCTCCTCTGATATTACTCTTGCTTTCTATTTTGAATTTTTATTCAAACAAAAAATAGAAGATCTACTGTTATGCAGACTACTGCAATATTGTAATACAGTGGAACCTCAAAAATCGAACTGCTCCCAACACGACCAATTATGTAAGTGCTTTTATAAGTGTATTTTTGAGGGTCTGAAATGGACTAATCTAATTTACATTATTCCTGATGGGAATAAATTCATTCGGTAAAGGCACTCGAATAGCCTTCTGGACCGAAGAAAGTTCGATATTTGAGGTTCCACTGTAATTGTATAAATAATGTCAACCCAATCATGACTGCATATTAGAATGCTAGTTGGACATTTATTGGACAATGACATCATTTGTTTACTCTTGAACTTCGGCAAAAATCAAACATTTCCCCTAGTTTGATCTCCATTTCAAGGTCCTTTTCATAGTAAAACCAATCAAAATCACCTCTATTCCTATAATATATTTTCCATTCTATCAAATGAGACCAAGAAAATGAGAATGCAACCATAAATACTATACGAAAATACACCACAAAGTCGGCGTTTTAATCCAAAAACACGGTAGAGTTTTTTTCTCATTATGCACTGCGTGCTGCAGGATTTTTTTTATATGGTGCACACTGACCACACAGACCCATTCTCTCACATGTGGGCCTACCAGCTTTCTCCTGATTGATTTGAAGCTGCTAGAATTTTTGAGTATATATACGTCAAACACATTGGCTCGTAAGACGTATATGTACGACCGAAACAATCAAAGGGTTAATAAAAAAAATGTATATTTCCAAGAATTAAACTACCATGCCACAATCTGGTTCACTTACTGCTACTCCTTCAATTGATACCTCAGGTGTATACTCTGTATCCTGCTCCTCTTGCTATTTCCAATCCATTGGTGCAACTAGCTGCTCCCTCTCTGACAGACTTAAACAATACATATGAATTCGTCTTGCCAATATTAACTTTTTTTTTTTTGAGTGTAGTCATCCTATCAGCTGATTTTCTTTCAAAATTACCTGACCCTCTTGGAGCCTTCAGATTGTCTTGCTAAATTGATCCTCTGCTACAGCCTCCCAAATATGAACCTTAGCCCCAGATTTGTTTCTGTAGATATTTGCCTCTCCCAGTACCTTGTTCGTTTCATTATTCTTCATAACACATGTGATTTGACCTGTAATTGCTGGTCTTCTTCCTGTTTCTTATTTGCGATTCGATATTGGTCCAGGACAGACTGAAATGTCATCCAAGTTTTATTTCTAATTTATGAATTATTTTGTGGAGACAAAGAACTTTGTCCTTGGAGGCAAAGAGGGGAATGTATGAGAGTATAGTTTTACCAACGCTCTTATATGGGTGTGAAGCATGGGTGATGAATGTTGCAGCGAGGAGAAGGCTGGAGGCAGTGGAGATGTCATGTCTGAGGGCAATGTGTGGTGTGAATATAATGCAGAGAATTCGTAGTTTGGAAGTTAGGAGGAGGTGCGGGATTACCAAAACTGTTGTCCAGAGGGCTGAGGAAGGGTTGTTGAGGTGGTTCGGACATGTAGAGAGAATGGAGCGAAACAGAATTACTTCAAGAGTGTATCAGTCTGTAGTGGAAGGAAGGCGGGTAGGGGTCGGCCTAGGAAAGGTTGGAGAGAGGGGATAAAGGAGGTTTTGTGTGCGAGGGGCTTGGACTTCCAGCAGGTATGCATGAGCGTGTTTGATAGGAGTGAATGGAGACAAATGGTTTTTAATACTTGACGTGCTGTTGGAGTGTGAGCAAAGTAACATTTATGAAGGGGTTCAGGGAAACCGGCAGGCCGGACTTGAGTCCTGGAGATGGGAAGTACAGTGCCTGCACTCTGAAGGAGGGGTGTTAATGTTGCAGTTTAAAAACTGTAGTGTAAAGCACCCTTCTGGCAAGACAGTGATGGAGTGAATGATGGTGAAAGTTTTTCTTTTTCGGGCCACCCTGCCTTGGTGGGAATCGGCCAGTGTGATAATAAAAAAAAATAATAAAAATTAGTGACACGTTGTTGACAGCAATGAATACTCAGGACCTTCTGTAAAAATTGAATCATCTGTGTAATCTAAGAACTCATTGCAACCTGTAATTAATATTTCTCAGATCTGACCTACTTTTAATCAGAATTACTCCTTTTTACCTCCTTATATAGAATCCCTTGGAAAAGATAGCATTTGTAATCATGCTAGTTACTTGGTTTCCGTAATTGTGATATGGAGTGGGGTTTTTGTTTATACTCTTTCATTAAATTAAAGGGTTTTATCAGTAATCCCATCTGTGTACAGTATACATTAGTTTTGCTGACATTCTTGGCTAGCTATCATGTGTCTAACTTTGGGATTGTGGGATTGATGATGCTTGGGAAAAGTTTAAGTTAGGGGTGTGGTGGTGTTTTAGGTTAGTATGTTGTGGTAGTAGCAGTGAAGGGTATCAAGTTGAGCTGTGAGTACATGTGAGAGTTCGCACTATGATTGTACAATAATTAATGTGTTAGTGGTGTGGTGGTGCATAAATATGATTAGTTTTCAGGGATTCACATACTCTTGTTATAAGAGAATAACAGAGGTTACCAGAGTAGATGGAAGGGGGAAGCATACAACATGCAATGATTTTTGACTTGGGGACTTTTGCTGAACAGAGGAAACATACTATGGATGTTGTCCGTCTACTGGTTGTGGATATACTGGTGAGAATTCTGTGGGTATAATGACTACTGGTATTTCTGTGAAAGGTGCTGGGTGAGCCTGTGATTACCTACTTGTAGCTAAAGAAGTGAAGCTGAGCTCATGATGTCCCATCTTCAGTATTTACTCTGTTGTAAAGTTTCCAGGTGTTGCAGAACTTGCTACCTTTTCTTGGAAATCATTACTGTGTTCTACCTTTCTGTTTGTGATATTATGATTATCAAAGCATAACAACAAATCATGTTGATTGATTAGTTTTCCCCCAAAATCACAAAAACACCACACATAATCCACAAGACCTATATTAAAACAAATCATTGATTTTTTTTTTTATGTAAAAATGAACTCTGTCTGCTTAACCAACTTTCAAAAAGAGAAAAAGATCAATTTTTATCAAAAATATACCATATGATATGTACCAAGGGACCATGTATGGTATAAGAAATCATTTAAAGAGTAACTTACAGATCAATAGATTAATAAAGTAGATATAAAAGACACTATGACCTAATATACTTCAGTGTTGTAAAATTATGGTTGTGATAAGTAATTTACTTTATTTGATTTATTGAAATAGGAATTTAGGGCCACTTTCTTTTCATATTCTCAGAAATTGAGGTTCTTGGTCATTATGTATTTGAGTATTTTTGATTTTATCATTCATATTTATTGGCAGTTAATTACCTCTTATGCAAACAGAAAAGACACAAACAAAATTCTGTTGAAAAAGTGGAAATCGCTTAATAAAAACAACATTCTGAAAATAGCATTAAAAAAAAAGTCAGTATGCTGAAAGAGAAGATTATTTTTTCCTGTTTTTATATAATTATTTGAAATTCAAGACATAATTTTAATGAAATTTTGCTTTTGCATGGTTTCACTCTTCAGCAACCTATGGCTTTGTAAGGTATAATATAAGTGCTATGTAGTGATTCAGTCTTACGGAAGGAGTTGATAGTTCCCTAAGGATCTCAGAAATAAATTGCCAACTAATTTTGTTAACATTGTCCTAGGTTATGGAGCTCTATAAAGTAATTTTCATTATAAATCATTATTCCAGCCTGATTGTGTTGGAGCTTCATATTTTGTTCTAATATTTTTCTTAAGAATGATGTGTGATTATCATCTTTGCACATTTAGGCATGAAGCAAACATACAACCTAATCCATAATATACTGTATTGTATATCAGTTAAGATATTAACCAGCTGACTAATAATAACCAGAAAAAATCTACATCCTTTCCTTGCTACCCGTGGAAAGACCGGAGCTCATAAGTTACCGTTCATGGTTAGTGAAGAGAGTTTTTCCATGAGTGTGCAGGAAGGACTGACAAATAAAGGGACACCATTATCACTTTAACTTCATTTTGTTATTGTTTAAGACAGATATATTTCAGTTTAGTCTTGGAATGGGGTTAGGTTGATTTCAGATCATTATATTTCTCTGGAGTTTTAGGGATTTTTATAACTCTTACAAAGCATATTTTCAATTTTAAAGTAATTACTTTCATTGATTTCACTTTCAAATTTTGAAATGCTGTACAATATTGCAGTATATATTTGTCATGGCATATTTTTTTTGTACAGCAGATTAGTAGCTGTTGTTTTTAGTATCTCATATCAACCAGTAATCACTACAGGTGCTTGTATATTGTTTAATATATTAATGGTGTAAAACGTTTTTTGCCATATTTGATTTTTTAGCTACAATAAGTATAAAAATAGAGGAATTGAAGTTATATTGTAAACAAACACTCAAACTATAGTAATTTTAAATAATAAAATTAATATTTTTCTTAATGGATACAAAAATTGACAAAGTACTAGCAGTGTATAAATGACTCTGTAGTTTTGAGCTTTGTGCTAGTCTTCATGTTATTGATTTACTTGTAATAGAGGTGTCTTTCTTTGATGCCACACTTAGGAGACGGTGATAGTAAGTTGTGCATCTTTTGTTAGGCTGGCCTAGCTGTTTACTAGTAGGCTTTTTGTGCTCTAGGTGTATCTTATTGTACATGTACTGTGTATTGTTTTTTCATGCATATTCACTTTTATCTGGCATCTGTGTTTGTTTTATGGAAATTATGATTAAGGACTTTAACACTGCATATACTGATACGCACACATGTTCATGTGTACTGGTACAACTGAGCATGTGCAATCACAAATATATATACATGTACAGCATACATATAATTATTCTTTGACATACACAAAAAAAACACAAAAACACAAACAAAAACACATACCAAAAAAAAAAAAAAAAAACATTAATAATACACATACATAAGAACATAAGCTGACAGACATTCATACCAATACATGCAAGCATGCAAATAGGTGCATGTATTGACATACTCATATTCTATATAACAAGCTTACAAGCAAGCATGTTCACACTTAAACATGCTAATGCATCAACAGAACAAAGTGGTTTTAAAGATATAACAATACTGCAACCAGCCGGGAATTGAACCCAGAACATTTAACCTGGTTCCTAGGAACCAAATTAACTTCCCAGTGCCTTAGCCCACTGGACCACCATGCTACCTGCATGCTGGACCACTATGCTACCAGCCTGGTGGTCTAGTGGTCTAAGGCATCAGGAAGTTAGTTTGGTTCCCAGGAGCCTGACTAAATGTTCCGGGTTCGAATCTCAGCTGGTCGCAGTATTGTTATACACATGTATACATTTATTGGAAAGAACAGAAAAGGATCAGAGGTTTCTTAAATCTTCATTACACAAATATTTCAGTGGCAAAAACTTTCACCACTGTCAGGATATTCTGAAAATATTATTCAGATAATATAATTTGTTTTATAAATTTTTAAATAATTATTGTACAAACCCATACAAAATAACATTAAGTAATCATAATCATAGACAGGGATGTGTAATGTCACCATGGTTGTTTAATATATTTATAGATGGGGTTGTAAAAGAAGTAAATGCTAGGGTGTTCGGGAGAGGGGTGGGATTAAATTATGGGGAATTAAATACAAAATGGGAATTGACACAGTTGCTTTTTGCTGATGATACTGTGCTTATGGGAGATTCTAAAGTAAAATTGCAGAGGTTAGTGGATGAGTTTGGGAATGTGTGTAAAGGTAGAAAGTTGAAAGTGAACATAGAAAAGAGTAAGGTGATGAGGGTATCAAATGATTTAGATAAAGAAAAATTAGATATCAAATTGGGGAGGAGGAGTATAGAAGAAGTGAATGTTTTCAGATATTTGGGAGTTGACGTATCAGCGGACGGATTTATGAAGGATGAGGTTAATCATAGAATTGATGAGGGAAAAAAGGTGAGTGGTGTGTTGAGGTATATGTGGAGACAAAGAACATTATCTATGAAGGCAAAGAAGGGAATGTATGAAAGTATAGTGGTACCAACACTCTTATATGGGTGTGAAGCTTGGGTTGTAAATGCTGCAGCGAGGAGGCGGTTGGAGGCAGTGGAGATGTCCTGTCTAAGGGCAATGTGTGGTGTAAATATTATGCAGAAAATTCGGAGTGTGGAAATTAGGAGAAGGTGTGGAGTTACTAAAAGTATTAGTCACGGGGGTTATTGAGGTGGTTTGGTCATTTAGAGAGAATGGATCAAAGTAGAATGACATGGAAAGCGTATAAATCTGTAGGGGAAGGAAGGCGGGGTATGGGTCGTCCTCGAAAAGGTTGGAGGGAGGGGGTAAAGGAGGTTTTGTGGGCGAGGGGCTTGGACTTCCAGCAAGCGTGCATAAGCATGTTAGATAGGAGTGAATGGAGACAAATGGTATTGGGACCTGACGAGCTGTTGGAGTGTGAGCAGGGTAATATTTAGTGAAGGGATTCAGGGAAACCGGTTATTTTCATATAGTCGGACTTGAGTCCTGGAAATGGGAAGTACAATGCCTGCACTTTAAAGGAGGGGTTTGGGATATTGGCAGTTTGGAGGGATATGTTGTGTATCTTTATACGTATATGCTTCTAAACTGTTGTATTCTGAGCACCTCTGCAAAAACAGTGATAATGTGTGAGTGTGGTGAAAGTGTTGAATGATGATGAAAGTATTTTCTTTTTGGGGATTTTCTTTCTTTTTTTGGGTCACCCTGCCTCGGTGGGAGACTGCCGACTTGTTGAAAAAAAAAAAAAATATTCATTTAAAGTTCATGACTGTACAATGGATACTACATTAGTAATTTAACCAAATTATAAATAAAGGTTGCAGTACCAACAAGAATATGTCTAATGGGCTGGGTGAGGCTCCTTGTTTATGTACATTTCTCATGTTATGCAATATACCTGAAAAGGAACCATAGCTTAATTATTTTTTATTGTACTATTTTATAAATAATTGATAGTACTGCACTGGTATGTGATGTAATAAAGTATTAGGAAAACCTCAAAACTTTTCCCGTTCTCTCCATTATTGCTGCTCTTACGCTGATTTACTACAGTAATACACATTTACATCATTCTTAAACATTCACAAATTTTAGCATGTATATGTGCAATTTTTTGCCATGAATAATTATGTATGTTTATACAGCAGGCACCGTAAAGAGTTTAGAGTGAAGTCTTTGTATTTTTTTTATTAGAACAGTTACTAGTACTGTCACTAAACAAATAAAAATAAATAAAAAAATAAATAGTCATTTTTTGGTAGATTAATTAATAAAGTACTTAAAGTCTGTTGAGTAAAGCTTTTTATATTTTTATGTGGGGGGTTCATTAATTTTCAACTTTATTGATTTTGAGCTAATAATCAGGGGCCACTCTTTATTATTGATTTAAGGGAGTTGTATAATCCTTCAATTTTTAATATTCCTTTTAAGGATAAATTATTATACTATTATTCTAGCAGTACACTATAGGATTGATCTCATAGTGTATAGTAGCAGAAAAAATACTGTAGTATAAGTCAGCTTTAAGTTTTCTGAAATGTTTCTAAATGGTAGCCTCTGAATTACTTTTGGCTTTTAAGTTTAGTAATTACTGGGTTATATATTAATAATAAAATAGTGTGACTAACATGAGTATGGTTGTGGCCGGTCGCGCCCATGCAGGAGGCCATTACACAGGAAGGCTCGGGAGAGGCCATCAACCAGCTATACATGACCACTATGCGCAAGTATGAAGCTATCAAAGATGAGTATGATTCAATTAGAAAAAGTTACTCCGAGTTAGTTGCCTCACATTCCAACAACATCTCTAAATTGGAACTTACACAGGTTTGTTAATTTCCCGCTTTTTCTTTAAAATCTAGATGTTTTGATTCACAAAACTGTAAAATACAATTGCAAACAAACCACAGTACGGGCGGGGTTAGAACCCATGGCAAGTGAGTCGTGAAACTCCAGGCCAGTGTTCCAGCCTAGTAGCTTATGCATTAACCTGGAGTTTTACAACTTGCTTGCCATAGGTTCTAACTCTACCTGTACTGTGGTTTAAAGATATTTTGACTGTTTAACTACATAACATTGCTTTAAAAATCTCATTGGATGCATAAATTTAAAAAAAATCATTATTTTTCTTGACTGTATTGCATTAATAATAATTTATGTTTCCTTCAGGAATTATTGTTTATAACATTACTTGAAGTAACATAACTCATTTGTCACTCATGAAAATATCATATAAACTCATTGCAATATGCAGTAATTATTAAGAGTGAAAATTTTAAACATGAGATATGCATATACCATGCAAATGCAACATGTACTATGTACAATAGCTTTATGTATATAATTGCTTAATAGAAGCACAGAGTAATAGTACTCCTGTAAGTATTTGGATTAATTGTAAGTTATAGTACTTCCTATAAGATTATTATAGCTGTTAGTTATTACTGTAAGATAACTGTTAATTATAATATTTGTTGTAAGATGTTTTAAAAACTATTGCTTTTGTATAAGGAATTCAAAGGATGGAAGGTATAGGTGTTTAAAATAACTCAAATTGAATATCACTAAAAAGAAGTTTTACCTCTAGTGATGTATATTTAACAGAGAAAGGACTGCTTGTAAAAAGTACTACAATATATATGATGTTGAAATGCAGAATAACCACGGTGAAAAAAATAATCAGATACCAAGCATGTTCATGAAGTCTCACATTAACATTATAACTTGATAATGTGAGAAATCATGAAAATGTTAATTTCACTAATTTTTTCACTGAGAGTATTTTGGATATTGTGATATCACCTGTTTACCGTGATCTTATTGCATGGCATTGAAATGTTGAATTGAATTTCATATATTAATTACTATTTTGGTTAATTTTTATGTCAAATTTGGAAACTAAAGATTATTATTATAATCAAAAAAGAAGCGTTAAGCCACAAGGACTATACAGCGGGAAACTAAAGAGAGTGATGATTATGTAATATAACAGAATAATGGAAACTCTGGGAAAAGTACGTGTGTGTGTGTATGTGAGCTTAGAAGAATAAACAAATCAACTATACCCATTTTTAATAAATATACTTCACAGGAGGGCCCTGCTTATAGAGCTGGTTAGGTTCCAGGCTTCTGTAGGGCTCCGCTTATACAGCAGGTTATGTTCCAGGCTACTGCAGGGCCCCGTTTAAACAGCAGGTTAGGTTCTGGGCTACTGTGGGGGGCCCGCTTATGCAGCAAGTTAAGTTCCGGGCTACTGTAGGGCCCCACTTATACAGCAGGTTAGGTTCCAGGCTACTGTAGGTCCCAGCTTATACAGCAGGTAAAGTTCCGGGTTATTGTTGTAAAGCGAAAATGGCTGTAAAGTGAATCATAGCCTTTTTCACTTTCAAATGCATATAAAAACCTGATAACATGTATTCACTATCGTATATTAAGTGAGCAATAGAGCTGGGCCTAAAAAATGCATGTACAATATACACATTACTTACCTTAAAATATTTTCATCCATTGCTTATAGTGAATGGTGAATATATTAATTGTAGGAAGTCTGAATAAATAAAGAATGAGTGTAATTGAAAACTGCTGCATTAGCGAAGTGCCTTAAAGTGAAGCACTACAAAGCAGGGCCTGCCTGTATACCCGTTGTTTAATAGATGTTCTAATTTATTTAAGATTTCCTTGGGATGCTATGCTGGTCATTTATGATTTCATTTAAGTCATTTTTCATAATGCTTTACATGTAAACTTAATATTTTGTTCTGTTAATAGGAAGAAGTGTCACGTCTGAAGAAACAATATGACGATATCTTACGAGAATGTAACGAAGCAGTGCGTGAGAAGAATTGCTTTAAGCAGCAGTGTACCAAAGCTATCACAGAGTGGGACTCTGCTCTCAGGGAAAAAAACAAATTGCAAGAAGAACTGCTCAAGGTATGTCATAAATTATTTTGAGGGACATTGAGAAATGTGTAACTAGCTATTTGTTAATTTGTTTACTGAAGATATACCAGTTAATCAGACTTGAGTCCTGGAGGTGGGAAGTACAATGCCTGCACTCTAAAGGAGGAGTTGGGGATATTTGCTGTTTGGAGGGACATCTGGCAAGACAGTGTGAAGGATGGTGAAAGTGTTTATCGGGTCACCCTGCCTCGGTGGGATACTGCCAATGTGTTAAAAAAAAAAAAGTTTTCCAGAGGTTGAGCCCTTGTAGAGGAACTGGTTAGATAGCTACACTTCCCTTCAAGATAATAAAAACATAACTTATCTTTAGGCCTCTTTCCCTGCCTCTCAGTTTCATTAGTTTTCTTTTATTATGATGAAATTCTTAATTTCTAGGATGACTATTATTTTTTTTTAATATGTCCAAGGTCACTGGTATATTTTAGGATGGGGCTCTGAGATTAACAAAATAATTCCTCTTCAGTTTGGCTTTAAATTTGTGTCTTTAAGTTTAGCGCAATTTTTTTTTTAATTCGTTTTCTGTCTTGCACCAAGGCAGGGTGATGCAAAAAAGAAACACTTTCACAGTCATTCAGCACTTTCAACATCATTAACACATAATCAGTCTTTGCAGAGGCACCCAGGTACAACAGTTCAGATGTCACTCCAGACAGCAAATATCCCAAACCCCTCCTTTAACCCTTTCATTGTCCAGACCCCAGATCTGAAACTCGTCAACAGCATCCAAGAATGTTCAAAAAAAATTTTGTCATGTTTTTCTTATGAAATGACAGAGAATCTCTTTCTGCAGGTAATAAAACAAAAAGTACGAAATTTAGTGGAAAATTGACGAAATTATGCTTTTGCAAATTTTGCTGTGTCCGATATTTATGCATCGGCAATTTTGCCCACTTTGAGTCCTATTTTAGGCCAATTACATTGTTCCAGTAAACCAAATTCTTAGCTATTTTGCTAATATGTCTTCTATTTTATTAACTAAGGACAGTAAACCACCCAGTCAACTATTTCAACTACCCAATGAAGTGATCAGAAATTGGTAATTTGGCTAATTTCAAATAAATTTCAAAATATTCCTGTTTCAAAATAGGGTCCAGAATAAACAGTACAAACATTCCTGGCACTAAAATAGCATTTCCTCTGTTCTCAGGCTTTACACATGAATAACATTTTGATATTTTGTTCATACAAAGAATTTTCATTCACACACAAAACAGAAAATTTACTGTTGTAATAATTGTGTAAATAATGTCCGTGCATTCGTTAAGGCACATTAAACCTACCAGTTGTACATATATTGGATGAGTGACGTGATTCATTAACTCTTGAATATCGGCAAAAATTGAACATTTCCACTAGTGTGAGCTCAATTTCAAACTATTTTCAGTCCTGAAACCCATAAAAATCTTCTCTGTTTCTGTAATATATCTTCCATTCTATCAAGTGAGACCAAGAAACCAAGAATACAGCCATAAAAACCATATGAAAATACACTGCAAATTTGCTGTTTTTGCCAAAAACACTTTTTTTTCTCTCATTATGCCCTGCATGCTGCAGGATTTTTTTTTTTATATGGACTTGTAGAGAGAATGGAGTGAAACAGAATGACTTCAAGAGTGTATCAGTCTGTAGTGGAAGGAAGGCGGGGTAGGGGTCAGCCTAGGAAAGGTTGGAGGGAGGGGGTAAAGGAGGTTTTGTGTGCGAGGGGCTTGGACTTCCAGCAGGCATGCGTGAGCGTGTTTGATAGGAGTGAATGGAGACAAATGGTTTTTAATACTTGACGTGCTGTTGGAGTGTGAGCAAAGTAACATTTATGAAAAGATTCAGGGAAACCAGCAGGCCGGACTCGAGTCCTGGAGATGGGAAGTACAGTGCGTGCACTCTGAAGGAGGGGTGTTAATGTTGCAGCTTAAAAACTGTAGTGTAAAGCACCCTTCTGGCAAGACAGTGATGGAGTGAATGATGGTGAAAGTTTTTCTTTTTTGAGCCACCCTGCCTGGGTGGGAATCGGCCAGTGTGTTCATAAAAAAAAAAAAAAATACTTACCACATAGACCCGTTCTCTCGTATCTAGGCCCAAATTTACTACTCACAGCTTATCTGAGTGAGCTGAGCTCATGGCATAGTACTACAGCACCAACACTGACCTCAAACCCATAGTACTATGGCACGGCCAATGAAAGGTTAAGAAGTGCAGGCATTGTACTTCCCACCTTCAGGACTCAAGTCTGATTTTCAAATTTTTATCAGAAAAGTTATAACTTGTGAATACTAGATCCGATTCGCTTCAAATCTTCAAAGCCAAGACTTACCGTCCCATGACAGTAAGAAAAAAAGGGTTATGGCACCAATAATGATGGCAACTCTTATCATTGGCAGATGTTACAAATGTATGGAATAGGAGGTAGGTTACTGAAAGCAGTGAAAGAGTTTTTAAGGGGGTAATGAGGCTCAAGTTAATGTATGTAGGAGAGAGGGAGATATTTCCCAGTATAAGTAGGCCTTAGACAAGGATGTGTGATGTCACCATGGTTGTTTAGTATATGTATAGCTGGGGTTGTAAGAGAAGTGAATGTTTGGGTGTTGGCAAGAGGTGTGGAGCTAAAAAAATGAAGAATTTAATGTAAAGTGGGAGTTGTCACAGTTGCTCTTTGCTGATGACACTGTGCTTTTGGGAGATTCTGAAGAGAAGTTACAGAGGTTGGGTGATGAATTTGGTAGGGTATGTAAAAGAAGAAAATTAAAAGTGAATATAGGAAAGAGTAAGGTGATGAGGATAACAAAAAAATTAGGCAATGAAAGATTGGATATCAGATTGGAGGGAGAGAGTATGGGGGAGGTGAATGTATTCAGATATTTAGAAGTGAACATGTCAGGGTCTTTGAAGGTTGAGGTGAATTGTAGAATTGATGAGGGGAAAAATGATGAGTGGTGCACTTAAGAGTCTGTGGAGACAAAGAACTTTGTCCATGGCAGCAAAGAGGGAAATGTATGAGAGTATAGTTATACCAATGCTCTTATATGAGTGTGAAGCAACCAATTTAGATCTAGGTTAGAATGGAAATACACCTTTAGTAAATAATGAAAGTAAAGTACTGTACTGAAATGCCTTGCATGGCTTATTTTGTTAGATGTAGTTCTAATATACCTACCTGTTGTTGATTTTGGAGGTCATTTACCCCTACTTGTCTCCCTGAAGTATCAAGAGTTAAAAATCATTGCACAAATATTTGGTAACCCGTAAATTGAGCATACAATGTATTTTTTTAAAAATCCTTTGGCTAATTTTCATAATGAATTTATCCAAAAAATAAAGTAAGATTACTTTTGGCCAGCATCACTTATCTTAGTAATTTTTTCTGAATTATTATTTTATTTTTTTTTATTATCACACCGGCCGATTCCCACCAAGGCAGGGTGGCCCGAAAAAGAAAAACTTTCACCATCATTCACTCCATCACTGTCTTGCCAGAAGGGTGCTTTACACTACAGTTTTTAAACTGCAACATTAACACCCCTCCTTCAGAGTGCAGGCACTGTACTTCCCATCTCCAGGACTCAAGTCCGGCCTGCCGGTTTCCCTGAATCCCTTCATAAATGTTACTTTGCTCACACTCCAACAGCACGTCAAGTATTAAAAACCATTTGTCTCCATTCACTCCTATCAAACACGCTCACGCATGCCTGCTGGAAGTCCAAGCCCCTCGCACACAAAACCTCCTTTACCCCCTCCCTCCAACCCTTCCTAGGCCGACCCCTACCCCGCCTTCCTTCCACTACAGACTGATACACTCTTGAAGTCATTCTGTTTCGCTCCATTCCTCTACATGTCCGAACCACCTCAACAACCCTTCCTCAGCCCTCTGGACAACAGTTTTGGTAATCCCGCACCTCCTCCTAACTTCCAAACTACGAATTCTCTGCATTATATTCACACCACACATTGCCCTCAGACATGACATCTCCACTGCCTCCAGCCTTCTCCTCGCTGCAACATTCATCACCCACGCTTCACACCCATATAAGAGCGTTGGTAAAACTATACTCTCATACATTCCCCTCTTTGCCTCCAAGGACAAAGTTCTTTGTCTCCACAGACTCCTAAGTGCACCACTCACTCTTTTTCCCTCATCAATTCTATGATTCACCTCATCTTTCATAGACCCATCCGCTGACACGTCCACTCCCAAATATCTGAATACGTTCACCTCCTCCATACTCTCTCCCTCCAATCTGATATTCAATCTTTCATCACCTAATCTTTTTGTTATCCTCATAACCTTACTCTTTCCTGTATTCACCTTTAATTTTCTTCTTTTGCACACCCTACCAAATTCATCCACCAATCTCTGCAACTTCTCTTCAGAATCTCCCAAGAGCACAGTGTCATCAGCAAAGAGCAGCTGTGACAACTCCCACTTTGTGTGTGATTCTTTATCTTTTAACTCCACGCCTCTTGCCAAGACCCTCGCATTTACTTCTCTTACAACCCCATCTATAAATATATTAAACAACCACGGTGACATCACACATCCTTGTCTAAGGCCTACTTTTACTGGGAAAAAATTCCCCTCTTTCCTACATACTCTAACTTGAGCCTCACTATCCTCGTAAAAACTCTTCACTGCTTTCAGTAACCTACCTCCTACACCATACACTTGCAACATCTGCCACATTGCCCCCTATCCACCCTGTCATACGCCTTTTCCAAATCCATAAATGCCACAAAGACCTCTTTAGCCTTATCTAAATACTGTTCACTTATATGTTTCACTGTAAACACCTGGTCCACACACCCCCTACCTTTCCTAAAGCCTCCTTGTTCATCTGCTATCCTATTCTCCGTCTTACTCTTAATTCTTTCAATTATAACTCTACCATACACTTTACCAGGTACACTCAACAGACTTATCCCCCTATAATTTTTGCACTCTCTTTTATCCCCTTTGCCTTTATACAAAGGAACTATGCATGCTCTCTGCCAATCCCTAGGTACCTTACCCTCTTCCATACATTTATTAAATAATTGCACCAACCACTCCAAAACTATATCCCCACCTGCTTTTAACATTTCTATCTTTATCCCATCAATCCGGCTGCCTTACCCCCTTTCATTTTACCTACTGCCTCACGAACTTCCCCCACACTCACAACTGACTCTTCCTCACTCCTACAAGATGTTATTCCTCCTTGCCCTATACACGAAATCACAGCTTCCCTATCTTCATCAACATTTAACAATTCCTCAAAATATTCCTTCCATCTTCCCAATACCTCTAACTCTCCATTTAATAACTCTCCTCTCCTATTTTTAACTGACAAATCCATTTGTTCTCTAGGCTTTCTTAACTTGTTAATCTCACTCCAAAACTTTTTCTTATTTTCAACAAAATTTGTTGATAACATCTCACCCACTCTCTCATTTGCTCTCTTTTTACATTGCTTCACCACTCTCTTAACTTCTCTCTTTTTCTCCATATACTCTTCCCTCCTTGCATCACTTCTACTTTGTAAAAACTTCTCATATGCTAACTTTTTCTCCCTTACTACTCTCTTTACATCATCATTCCACCAATCGCTCCTCTTCCCTCCTGCACCCACTTTCCTGTAACCACAAACTTCTGCTGAACACTCTAACACTACATTTTTAAACCTACCCCATACCTCTTCGACCCCATTGCCTATGCTCTCATTAGCCCATCTATCCTCCAATAGCTGTTTATATCTTACCCTAACTGCCTCCTCTTTTAGTTTATAAACCTTTACCTGAAATACGCCTCTAATGTCATTAATACTTACATTAATCAAAAAGAATAATTGAAGAAACGAATGAACTATACCAATGTGAATCTACTCATATTAAAACAGTACTTTCAGATATAGTCTTAATTTACCATTTATTTTATTTTGTTGTCATACCTGGTTTTAGAAATGGAAGCATATCATCTAATCATGTTTTTAAGTTACTTTTTTGTTATGCATTAACAGAATTATATAGTAAGTTTTTTGGAAACATTATGATGACAGAATCATACTGGAAGTTTAAAAGAGTAATATTTCCTTTTTTTCCCCACAGATTCGTGAGAAGTATGATGAGATGATGAAAGAGATGAACACTCACCTCATTCAAAGACAGCATCTCAATAAAGATTTAAAACGGTTACAGGTAATGCATTTCAGCCCAGGTTATGTCCTTTTCCTTGTTAATACTAGCACTTGGTAGGTTGGTAGACAGCAACCACCCAGGGAAGTACTACCGTCCTGCCAGATGACTGTGAAACAAAAACCTGTAACTGTTTTGCATGATGGTAGGATTGCTGGATTGCTGGTTTCTTTTTCTGTCTCATAAACACGCTAAGATAACAGGGATATCTTGCTACTCCTACTTACACTTTGGTCACACTTCACAGACACGCACATGCATATATATATATACATACATCTAGGTTTTTCTCCTTTTTCTAAATAGCTCTTGTTCTTTTTTATTTCTTCTATTGTCCATGGGGAAGTGGAAAAGAATCTTTCCTCCGTAAGCCATGCGTGTCGTATGAGGCGACTAAAATGCCGGGAGCAATGGGCTAGTAACCCCTTCTCCTGTATACAATTACTAAAAAAGAGAAGAAGAAAAACTTTATAAAACTGGGTTGCTTAAATGTGCGTGGATGTAGTGCGGATGACAAGAAACAGATGATTGCTGATGTTATGAATGAAAAGAAGTTGGATGTCCTGGCCCTAAGCGAAACAAAGCTGAAGGGGGTAGGAGAGTTTCAGTGGGGGGAAATAAATGGGATTAAATCTGGAGTATCTGAGAGAGTTAGAGCAAAGGAAGGGGTAGCAGTAATGTTAAATGATCAGTTATGGAAGGAGAAAAGAGAATATGAATGTGTAAATTCAAGAATTATGTGGATTAAAGTAAAGGTTGGATGCGAGAAGTGGGTCATAATAAGCGTGTATGCACCTGGAGAAGAGAGGAATGCAGAGGAGAGAGAGAGATTTTGGGAGATGTTAAGTGAATGTATAGGAGCCTTTGAACCAAGTGAGAGAGTAATTGTGGTAGGGGACTTGAATGCTAAAGTAGGAGAAACTTTTAGAGAGGGTGTGGTAGGTAAGTTTGGGGTGCCAGGTGTAAATGATAATGGGAGCCCTTTGATTGAACTTTGTATAGAAAGGGGTTTAGTTATAGGTAATACATATTTTAAGAAAAAGAGGATAAATAAGTATACACGATATGATGTAGGGCGAAATGACAGTAGTTTGTTGGATTATGTATTGGTAGATAAAAGACTGTTGAGTAGACTTCAGGATGTACATGTTTATAGAGGGGCCACAGATATATCAGATCACTTTCTAGTTGTAGCTACACTGAGAGTAAAAGGTAGATGGGATACAAGGAGAATAGAAGCATCAGGGAAGAGAGAGGTGAAGGTTTATAAACTAAAAGAGGAGGCAGTTAGGGTAAGATATAAACAGCTATTGGAGGATAGATGGGCTAATGAGAGCATAGGCAATGGGGTCGAAGAGGTATGGGTAGGTTTAAAAATGTAGTGTTAGAGTGTTCAGCAGAAGTTTGTGGTTACAGGAAAGTGGGTGCAGGAGGGAAGAGGAGCGATTGGTGGAATGATGATGTAAAGAGAGTAGTAAGGGAGAAAAAGTTAGCATATGAGAAGTTTTTACAAAGTAGAAGTGATGCAAGGAGGGAAGAGTATATGGAGAAAAAGAGAGAGGTTAAGAGAGTGGTGAAGCAATGTAAAAAGAGAGCAAATGAGAGAGTGGGTGAGATGTTATCAACAAATTTTGTTGAAAATAAGAAAAAGTTTTGGAGTGAGATTAACAAGTTAAGAAAGCCTAGAGAACAAATTGATTTGTCAGTTAAAAATAGGAGAGGAGAGTTATTAAATGGAGAGTTAGAGGTATTGGGAAGATGGAAGGAATATTTTGAGGAATTGTTAAATGTTGATGAAGATAGGGAAGCTGTGATTTCGTGTATAGGGCAAGGAGGAATAACATCTTGTAGGAGTGAGGAAGAGCCAGTTGTGAGTGTGGGGGAAGTTCGTGAGGCAGTAGGTAAAATGAAAGGGGGTAAGGCAGCCGGGATTGATGGGATAAAGATAGAAATGTTAAAAGCAGGTGGGGATATAGTTTTGGAGTGGTTGGTGCAATTATTTAATAAATGTATGGAAGAGGGTAAGGTACCTAGGGATTGGCAGAGAGCATGCATAGTTCCTTTGTATAAAGGCAAAGGGGATAAAAGAGAGTGCAAAAATTATAGGGGGATAAGTCTGTTGAGTGTACCTGGTAAAGTGTATGGTAGAGTTATAATTGAAAGAATTAAGAGTAAGACGGAGAATAGGATAGCAGATGAACAAGGAGGCTTTAGGAAAGGTAGGGGGTGTGTGGACCAGGTGTTTACAGTGAAACATATAAGTGAACAGTATTTAGATAAGGCTAAAGAGGTCTTTGTGGCATTTATGGATTTGGAAAAGGCGTATGACAGGGTGGATAGGGGGGCAATGTGGCAGATGTTGCAAGTGTATGGTGTAGGAGGTAGGTTACTGAAAGCAGTGAAGAGTTTTTACGAGGATAGTGAGGCTCAAGTTAGAGTATGTAGGAAAGAGGGAAATTTTTTCCCAGTAAAAGTAGGCCTTAGACAAGGATGTGTGATGTCACCGTGGTTGTTTAATATATTTATAGATGGGGTTGTAAGAGAAGTAAATGCGAGGGTCTTGGCAAGAGGCGTGGAGTTAAAAGATAAAGAATCACACACAAAGTGGGAGTTGTCACAGCTGCTCTTTGCTGATGACACTGTGCTCTTGGGAGATTCTGAAGAGAAGTTGCAGAGATTGGTGGATGAATTTGGTAGGGTGTGCAAAAGAAGAAAATTAAAGGTGAATACAGGAAAGAGTAAGGTTATGAGGATAACAAAAAGATTAGGTGATGAAAGATTGAATATCAGATTGGAGGGAGAGAGTATGGAGGAGGTGAACGTATTCAGATATTTGGGAGTGGACGTGTCAGCGGATGGGTCTATGAAAGATGAGGTGAATCATAGAATTGATGAGGGAAAAAGAGTGAGTGGTGCACTTAGGAGTCTGTGGAGACAAAGAACTTTGTCCTTGGAGGCAAAGAGGGAATGTATGAGAGTATAGTTTTACCAACGCTCTTATATGGGTGTGAAGCGTGGGTGATGAATGTTGCAGCGAGGAGAAGGCTGGAGGCAGTGGAGATGTCATGTCTGAGGGCAATGTGTGGTGTGAATATAATGCAGAGAATTAGTAGTTTGGAAGTTAGGAGGAGGTGCGGGATTACCAAAACTGTTGTCCAGAGGGCTGAGGAAGGGTTGTTGAGGTGGTTCGGACATGTAGAGAGAATGGAGCGAAACAGAATGACTTCAAGAGTGTATCAGTCTGTAGTGGAAGGAAGGCGGGGTAGGGGTCGGCCTAGGAAGGATTGGAGGGAGGGGGTAAAGGAGGTTTTGTGTGCGAGGGGCTTGGACTTCCAGCAGGCATGCGTGAGCGTGTTTGATAGGAGTGAATGGAGACAAATGGTTTTTAATACTTGACGTGCTGTTGGAGTGTGAGCAAAGTAACATTTATGAAGGGATTCAGGGAAACCGGCAGGCCGGACTTGAGTTCTGGAGATGGGAAGTACAGTGCCTGCACTCTGAAGGAGGGGTGTTAATGTTGCAGTTTAAAAACTGTAGTGTAAAGCACCCTTCTGGCAAGACAGTGATGGAGTGAATGGTGGTGAAAGTTTTTCTTTTTCGGGCCACCCTGCCTTGGTGGGAATCGGCCGGTGTGATAATAAAAAAAAAAAAAAAAACTAGCACTTCATGTCTTAAATCCTTGTTCCCTTAATTGTAGAGTACGTATTACTCTCATGTTGTCTGTGGGTAAAGAACTGCCTTCCCCTGACAGTAGGAAAAATTGGGTAATGGCACCAATAATGGTGACAACTCTTATCATTTAAAGATTTTTATTTTTTGTAGCTAATTTATTCATTTACACAGTTTCAGTTTTAAGTACAGTGGTCCCCCGCTTTTCGTAGTTCCCGGCAATCGTAAAATTCGCCAATCATAGAGGTATTTTCATATAAACATGGACTCGCTTTTCATAGGTTGACTCGCGAGTCGTAGTTCGTCCGGGACGCGTACGCACGGCGTGAGCCAGGGCGGCAGCCAGTCTGGCATTGTTTACCAGTGAGCGAAGGTCCCCTCACATGCTCCAGCGAAATATTTCATAATATTCCATTTATTTTAGTGCTTGCAAGTACTAAATAAGCTACCATGGCTCCAAAGAAAGCTCCTAGTGCCAAGCCTGTGGTAAAGAAAGTGAGAAATACGATTTAATTTAAGAAAACCATCATTGAACAATATGAAAGTGGTACAAGTGTGGCCGAACTGTCCAGGATGTATAAGAAACCTTACACAACCTTATGTTCCATAGTGGCCAAGAAAAATGAAATGAGATCACCAGTACTGGAAGAGGTTGAGAAGTTATTATTGGTGTGGATAAATGAGAAACAATTAGCAGGAGATACTCTTATGACTTCGTTTATTTGTGAAAAGGCTAGGCAGTTGCATGAAGATTTGGTAAAGAAATTGCCTGCAAATAGTGGTGAAGTGAGTGAATTTAAGGCCAGCAAAGGCTGGTTTGAGAGATTTAAGAACCGTACTGGCATACACAGTGTGGTAAGGCATGGTGAGGCTGCCAGTTCGGACCACAAGGCGGCTGAAAAATATGTGCATGAATTCCAGGAGTACATAGAGGCTGAAGGACTGAAACCTGAACAAGTGTTCAGTTGTGACGAAACAGGCCTCTTTTGGAAGAAAATGCCAAAGAGGACCTTCATTACACAAGAGGAAAAGGCAGTGCCAGGACACAAGCCTATGAAAGACAGGCTGATGCTAATGTTCTGTGCTAATGCTAGTGGGGATTTCAAAGTGAAGCCATTACTAGTGTACCATTCTGAAAATCCCAGAGTGTTCAGGAAAAACAATGTTATGAAGAGTAAATTGTGTGTGTTTTGGAAATCTAATAGTAAGGCATGGGTCACAAGGGAAATTTTCGTCGAGTGGTTCAATGAAGTGTTTGGCCCTAGTGTGAAGGAGTATCTCCTGGAAAAGAAATTGGATCTCAAGTGCCTGCTAGTAATGGACAATGCACCTGCTCATCCTCCAAACTTGGATGACCTAATTTTTGAGGAGTTTGGGTTCATCACAGTAAAGTTCTTGCCCCCGAATACCACTCCTCTCCTCCAACCCATGGACCAGAAGGTTATTGCAAACTTTAAAAAACTCTACACAAAAGCAATGTTTCACAGGTGCTTGACTGTGACCACAGACACTCACTTGACCCTAGGGGAATTTTGGAGAGAACACTTCAGCATCCTCCACTGCATAACCCTTATAGGTATGGCTTGGGAGGGAGTGACTACCAGGACTTTGAACTCTGCCTGGAGAAAATTGTGGCCAGATTGTGTCGACAAGAGGGATTTTGAAGAATTTGGGACTGACCCTAATGAGCCTATGTCTGTTGTAAAATCAATTGTGGCACTGGGGAGTTACATGGGGTTGGATGTGAGTTTGGAGGATGTGGAAGAATTGGTGGAAGACCACAATGAAGAGCTCACCACTGAGGAGCTGCAAGAGCTTCAGCAGGAAGAGCAACACATCGCAGCTCAGAATCTTGCTGCAGAGGAGGAGGAAGAGAGATGGAAGAATGTGCCTTCTTCAGAAATTAAAGAGGGGTAGGGGTCGGCCTAGGAAAGATTGGAGGGAGGGGGTAAAGGAGGTTTTGTGTGCGAGGGGCTTGGACTTCCAGCAGGCGTGCGTGAGCGTGTTTGATAGGAGTGAATGGAGACGAATGGTTTTTAATACTTGACGTGCTGTTGGAGTGTGAGCAAAGTAACATTTATGAAGGGGTTCAGGGAAACCGGCAGGCCGGACTTGAGTCTTGGAGATGGGAAGTACAGTGCCTGCACTCTGAAGGAGGGGTGTTAATGTTGCAGTTTAAAAACTGTAGTGTAAAGCACCCTTCTGGCAAGACAGTGATGGAGTGAATGATGGTGAAAGTTTTTCTTTTTCGGGCCACCCTGCCTTGGTGGGAATCGGCCAGTGTGATAATAAATAAATAATAATTTTACTATGTGGGGTAAGATGGAAAGCTTTATGGAGAAACATCACCCTAACAAGGTTGTTGCAAGCCAGGTTGGCAACATGTACAGTGACAAAGTCTTGGGCCATTTTAGGGAAGTGTTAAAGAGACGCCAGAAACAGAGCTCTCTCCACAGTTATTTTGTGAGACAGGACTCCAGTGACTCTCAAGGTGGTCCTAGTGGCATTAAGAAACAGAGAAGAGAAGCAACCCCAGAAAAGCAAATGGTACCTGAGGTGTTGATGGAAGGGGATTCCCCTTCCAAACTATAAACAATCCACTCTCTCTCCTCCTCCAGTCTCCCATACACTAAGAAGAATCTCCAATAAAGGTAAGCGTTATGCTGTTAATGTTTCATTCATCATTTCCCATTGTATTGTTTATGTACTACATGCATATTTCATGTTAAAAAAAATTTTGTTTTAAACTTCTGGGTGTCAGGAACGGATTAATTGTATTTACATTATTTCTTATGGGGAAAATTGATTCGTAAATCGTAAATTTCGTTTATAGTAACAGCTCCAGGAACGGATTAATTACAAACAATGAGGGACCACTGTATGTGCCAGTAACTTACCGTTTATTCAGATATCAACTACATATACATTATTACTGTTGTATTAATTGATTTATGGGAACAACATATCCAATCCTCACTCCTCATTATAAATTCAGTCTGGTAAGTATCATGAGGATATGTTTTGACTTGACCAACACTACTACAGATTTGTGATAAAATAAGAGCTACATATAAAGAGACCATATTGGCCACATATTGAATAATTTATAATTCTGTTCATAAATTTGCTCTTTAACTTCAAATAATCAGTCTTCCTGTATCCACAGGGGATACATTCCAAGACCTACTGTGGATACCCGCAACTGTGGACAGTACCAAATCCTATATATGTCATTTTTCATTTGCATACATACTTATGATAAAGTTTAATTGATAAATTGCACACAATGAGTCAAGAATTAGCACTTTTTCACTGATGGGAAGCACTTCATTGCTTCTCTTGGGCTTTAAAGAACTTTAAGCATCACTACTTTTACACTTAGGGGCTGTTATTAAGCAAAATTAAGTCTTTTCAGGCCACAGGAAACTGTGGATAACCGAATCCATTGAAACTGAATCCACAGATACTGGGGTTCTCCTGTGTTGAAATACTGTACCACAAACTTCATTTTATTCACATTTTTGCTATTCATGTCACCTGAATCATCATCATCTTTCAACAAACCGGCCATATCTCACCAAGGCAGGGTGGCCCAAAAAGAAAAACAAAAGTTTTTCTTTTTAAATTTAGTAATGTATACAGGAGAAGGGGTTACTAGTCCCTTGCTCCTGGCATTTTAGTCTCCTCTTATGACACACATGGCTTACAGAGGAAGAATTGTGTTCCACTTCCCCATGGAGAATGTAACTTGAATATTTGCATTATTTGCACTCTGTTTCTGATAATGGCCCTACAGATACACAATACTCGATTTATGGCTCATAGTTCCCATTTGCAGGAAGGCAGCCAGTATGCCAGAGTAAAATATAGCCATGTGAAGGAAAGCAATTATGTTTCATATAAAGTACAATACCAATAGTTTTACTGTACAGGAGTATTTCAATTTTATTTTAGAATTGTAAACAGATTAAGGAAATTACATGCAGTTGTTCAGGAGACTGAAAGATTCCCAACTCATTGGTTACAAGTGTTATTCACAGATTTGCTGTTGTAGATACTTCCAGAAATGTAGTCCACAAGGATAGCAAAGATTTGCTGCACATGTGAAAAATTGTAGAAATATATTAGATAATAATAATTAAAACCCCTTCTCTTGTATAAATTACCTAATTTAAAGGGAAACACTTTTGTTTTTTTTCCTTTTAGGTCACCTGCATTGGTGGGATATGGTCGGTTCGTTAAAAAAAAAGAACGATTAAAGTTTAAAGAGTGAAAACGCACAATACCGTGACTGAAACAATGTACAAATAACAAACTTATTTGTGAAATAAAAGCTTAGTTATTAAAAAATAAGTGCTCTGAAAAACTTTCTCAGGAGATTAACCTTCCATTAACAGTAAATATGTATTGTACTGTACAGTACTGTGTACAGTAGGTGTCATAAATATTCATGCCCATTAGTACTTCTTTAGTAGACTATTTGCCTGACAGATTGAAATGCCAGAACAACTTTTGCATGGAAGATGGTGCCCCTTGTCTAACTGCCAAAGACAGAGAATTGGCTAAGCACTTGTGATCTTTCTATACTTTACTGATTGGCTGGGAAATTCATTGGACTTTAACCCTATAAGAGAATGTTTGGAAACTCATTAACAGTAGGTTATGATGAGCCATCTCGTCTATGTGATCTGTTTATGCATGTGCATATTTATGATGCCTACTGAAGATCAGATAAATATATGTTGTTTCCTTATGCAGCCTCTCCTCACTTAGTGATGTATTCGTTTACTGATGACTCAGACTTGCAACTGGCTCTCTGATCAGTATGCATACCCCTAAATAATGTGTATTAGAGCTGGTTACTTCTAGTCTGTTTATTACAATATACAGTACACTACTGTATAAACATTTAAAAATACACCAGAAATGTTATGAATGGTGCAGAGGTGACATTAAAGCAATATCAAAGATGGTTGACACAAAGCCACTACCATTATAATATGCTCCTCGCTTAGCATCCAATTCGTTTATTAACATGGTCTTAGGAATGGAACTCTGTCATTAAGTGAGGAGAGGCTGCATAAATTATTGCCATATTTCCTTTGTTTATTTTATTTTTATCTTAGTATTACTAATGAAATTTTGTTTTGCTACCAGTAGGTTTTAGCCACATTTGCTCAGCTACTATGTTAAAACCCCATATTGGCAGGACTGAGTATGCTTTTTAGGTGTGCTATTACCTGTCTGCATAATTCACTCAGCCTATCATCCATTCCTTCTTTATGAATGAAAAATTGCCTCCCAGAGAGTTTTAATATGCTTTTTTGTTTTTCTATGCAACTACATGCCTGTCATAATGCATATCACCTGAGATATTGATCATAGGCTATTACTGAATATAATTATTAAAAGCAAATTACAAGATATGCTTTGTGTGTATAATTTTTTTATCACACTAACCGTCTCCCACTGAGGCAGGGTGACCATTTTCATGCAGTCATTGTCTTAGAGCCATCCCATTCAGATTAGCAGTGAGGGAAATTAAATAAATTAAGTTAGTGAATAATCATGAATAATTTAAGTTAGTGAATAATCATGATTATTCACTAAAATAAATTAAGTTAGTGAATAATCATGATGTTTGTGAAGTGGTTATGAATTAATAAGAAAGTGTGTCTGCCACAGGAAGAGAGGAATGCAGCCATGCAAGAATATACACTGGTTATGAGTGAGCGTGACACTGTGCACAAGGAGATGGACAAGCTTCAGGAGGAACTATCTCAGGCCAGTAAAAAGATCAAGACAATTGAACAGACCACTAATGATTCAAGCAAAGAGGTGATTCTTAAATCATTGTGATTCCAAGATGAATAATGTTAGTCAGTAGATAATATGCATTGCACATGTTGGCTACAAACATTACAGTAGACTTGTATAATCAGGGATTATTTATAGTACACTTCTGTATTCGAGTTTCTGAAGACGAGCTAGTGCACTTGCATATCTCTGTTTAGTGAAGAAGATATATTTTTTCTCTCTAAATTTCTGAAGAAGGCAATACAAATATTGCTAAGATTCTGAAGTTGTGTTTCTGTCACCAGGAAATTATCAAAGAATTCTTATATCTTTCTTAAAGTTAACAAATTGAAAAAATTAGGTAAATTGCTAAAAAAATTATGTATGTTATTTCCATTAAATCAGAATTTTATTTATGGGATAATCATCTTTCTTAACAAAATTGAGAACTTGCTAAAATTAGGCAAATTGCTGAAAAGTATTATCTATATTATTTCCATTAAATCAAAATTTTATTAATGGGTTAATCAGTAATAGTTTTCCAATAAATAGCTACCATTAGCAAGAAAAAAAAAATTACCAGCATGCATTAATATCTGATTGTTTAAAATAAATTTCTACATCACTGAGACCTAAAGCCAATGCAGAATGAGATTCTACCATTGCAAAGAAACACACATCGTACAGTGAAACAATGTGAATTATAGCAAAATTTGTAAAACATTAATAAGATGGGTATACAGTATTAGAACCTGAAATTCTGGAAAGCAATTCAGGTTTTAATCGAGCATTTTGCATCAATGGAATTGTCACATTATTTAAGATGTATGTCATTGTTAATTTTCAAGCTGTTTGGAAGTATTTTTAATATTTTGTAATTATGATAGCTGACGTAATCGTACTTCAAAAGAGGATTGCTCATTTGAACTTTATAACCACGTGGCAAGTGAAAAGAAAGTACGTATCGGTTAATGGTGCTTATTTTGATTGTTTCATGTCGACTGCACAATCTAATAGTGTTAATGAGCCTTAATGACAGATTAATAATATAATCTGTATGACATTTAGGTGTTATCTATAGCTGGGAATATCACTGGGGGTAGTTAATTAAGAATTGTCTATCATGGTATGTACCATAATCCATTACTGAGAGGGTGGCATCCTCTTCAGTATTTATGTTAATAATGATTCTCACTTTTTAAAATACAGTTATGGTGCTTGTGTTATTGCAGTTGACTGACTAGGGCTTCAGGAAATGAAGCTTTTTTTTTGTTTTTCAGTTTTCTGTAGTATTAACATCATGGAGAATAAATCACAGTACCATGGCTAAACAGTTCACAATTGTTGTACAAGTCGAAAATGAAAATTTGACAATATTTCAGTAAGTCTTGGACCATTATCAAGTTGCAAGTGAGAAAGAAATGGGAGAAAATCAATTTTCACATTATTACATAGGGAGATGAAGGGACAGCCAAAGTCTTTTCAAGTCATGCACATTTTGAATATTAAAACATTTCACTGTCCACTTTGTGAGTCTTAAGTATCTGTCAAAAAACAGCCAGGGTTTACATAAGAACATAAGAAAGGAGGAACACTGCAGGAGGCCTGTTGGCCCATACTAGGCAGGTCCTTTACAATTCATCCCACTAACAAAACATTTGCCCAACCCAATTTTCAATGCTACCCAAGAAATAAGCTCTGATGTGAAAGTCCCACTCAAATCCAACCCCTCCCACTCATGTACTTATCCAACCTAAATTTGAAACTACCCAAAGTCCCAGCCTCAATAACCCAACTAGGTAGACTGTTCCACTCATCAACTACCCTATTTCCAAACCAATACTTTCCTATGTCCTTTCTAAATCTAAACTTATCTAATTTAAATCCATTACTGCGGGTTCTCTCTTGGAGAGACATCCTCAAGACCTTATTAATATCCCCTTTATTAATACTTATCTTCCACTTATACACTTCGATCAGGTCTCCCCTCATTCTTCGTCTAACAAGTGAATGTAACTTAAGAGTCTTCAATCTTTCTTCATAAGGAAGATTTCTAATGCTATGTATTAATTTAGTCATCCTACGCTGAATGTTTTCTAACGAATTTATGTCCATTCTGTAATATGGAGACCAGAACTGAGCTGCATAATCTAGGTGAGGCCTTACTAATGATGTATAAAGCTGCAGTATGACCTCTGGACTTCTGTTGCTTACACTTCTTGATATAAATCCCAGTAATCTATTTGCCTTATTACGTACTCTTAGGCATTGCTGTCTTGGTTTAAGGTTGCTGCTCACCAGACTTGTATTTAGGATGTTGTGGATAAGGGCTGATGTAATATGACAGAGATGGATAATTTTGGAAGAGGACCTACCTATGATGGTTTTGCTCCCTAGCATGAAAGAAAATAGCATTATATCAGCAAGATAAGCACATCTTTTTCTTTTCTTTAAGTTTGTCAGAAAGGGAGCTGCCAGTTTAACATATTGCAGATGGTAAAGGAAGCATTAGGGGGAACCAGATTCAAAGTGTACAAGTTTGACGTAATGTACTTTTAATATCCAGTGGGTGAAGAGTATTAAAATTTTGCAAACTAGAAAGTATACAAAAGACAAAGTTCAGGTGTCATCACTGGAGCAGGAGGGTTAGGTGATAATTAAGCTCTTTTAGCATGAGACTAGAGAGAGTTTGTGGTGTATAGGAGGATAGCCATATGAGACAATGAACTGTGAAGAATTCAAGTTTCAGAATTGTGGAACTGAGGATTGTAGTTGATGCCCTCTCTAATTTAGTGACTGAATTTTTCCCAACCCTTTCATGTTGCTCCTAGCAGTGTTGTTCTGACTGTTATGTTTAAAGCCAAATAGAAATTTTATTACCCTCTTTCCTTCTCTTGATATTCATGTCCACTGCTTTGTCATCTTTTTCTGTCTACTCCAAACTAATGCACAGTAACATGCACACTTATTTAATTTCCTGTTATGCACAGTCTACTAAATGACTTGTTATTTCTCTCTTCCTCTCTGTCCTCTGTATGCATGATCCTCAGTTTCTTGGCTCTGAAATCCCAATTCTTTGCAGTTCATTATATAATTTTTGCTGTCTTACTAGTTTCATAACTGCATACTTGTTCAAAAAGGTAGAACAAAAAGGCACAGTACCATGGAACAATGCCCAGATAACTCACACATAGGAAAGAGAAGCTTACAACATTACAGCCTGGCTTTGACCATTTACAAAGTCATGCTAACATAAAAGAGATGTTCATGTAGGTTTGCCAGGACAGGTCCTGGCCCAGGTTTTCTCCTTGTGGTGACCTGGCAGTGGCTCCCAAAGGAGTCAGAGTTTGTACAAGTGATGTACCGTTTACAGCCCTATGACGGGCAGGGTGAACATTCATGTCAAGTAGAGTACAAAAGAGTGAGGAAGCCTATATATATATATAGACAAGGGGGACAAGGATGGGACCAAGAGAGGAAGAAAAAGAAGTGGTTGTAGTGGTAAGGCTGGTAGTAGAAGTAATAGTGGTAGGAATCTTCTCTCTCCTATGTGCGTGGGTTATTTGTGTATTATTCGAAAAAGTGTTTTTTCTATACATCCACCTCTCTAGGGAAAACACTTGTACTTTGTCTTTTCCATATTTCTAATGTACAGAATCTTATTAACACTTCACTCTCTGGATAATTAATCTTGTATTTCATCAAAGCAATAAGTTTCGAAGCTTTCCGATTCATAATTTTGCTGTTGATGCTACAGATATTTATTTTCTCCTGATTTTTATTACCCTCTCCAATACATTGGTGAATGTGACTACACTCTTTCTGATAGGCTTAATAACATACAACCAACTCATATATATGTAGTTGCAGGGGTCAAGTCTTAGCTCCTGGCACTGCCCCTTACCTTGCCACTTGCCAGATTTGATCCTCCTAGCCTCATGAGCTTAGTCATACCTGCTCTTAAAACTATGTATGGAGACTGCCTTCCACCAATTTTTTTTCATTGAGATCATTCAAATTCCTGGCCACCCTGAGATATATTTTTGATATACCTTACCTTTGACGAGTTTTTAGTCTTTTCTGCTCCTGAAGCCCGGTCACAGGCCAAGCTTGATGGTATACTTCTTAACATCACTGTCCCTTTCTTCCCAATCTCTCTCTCTACTGTCATGTTGATTGTCCCATAAGTTGATAGTCTTCCAAAATTATCTACTATTCTAACCTTCATGGACAGTGACTTGTTGAATTTATCTTATACATGACATTCCTAACATGAACCACAGCCTTGATTCTGTTTTTCTAGGTGTTGTCCTCTGCAGTATGTGGTCATATGCTCTAATATCCAGAACACGTGCAACTTAACCTAACCCTGGTTGTCTCTTCACCACTCTGTGGTCTGACCTGATTTCTGAATTGCAACTTGATAATGGTTCAGGACCAACTGAAATGTCATCCTGTTTTAATTTTCAGTTTGTGCAAGATAATTGTGAATTAGCTTCGTGATTTAGAGCAAGATAATAAACTTCATAACAAAAAATCTTGGTGAAAATATTTAAAACATTAGAAAAGTTTATCCTTGATAATGCACTCAATTCACAAAATTGAGCCAGTGTGTATATGCAGTTTGTATATCTGCATTCTGAGATCTAATTAAAAGTAAAAAAAACATTTTAGATTTAGAGTAACATATGCAGATATTTTTAGATTTGCATCTTTCAAATGGCACCAAATCATCGATCTTCTCCATTTGTTTTCCTTTATATAACTTTACCGAGGGGAAACCTTAATCTTTATATGTATACGTAATTACTTTTGTTTGCCGAACTTCAGTTGCTTCACATCGGTGATAGCGAAATCAGCTGGTAAAAAGTCGTTCCTTTTAATTTAAAATAATGAGGTGGTCATGGGTTAAATACAAGAAAAATATTTTGTATTTGTCATGTTTCCATTGACTGTAAGAGAAGTGTCATATAGACAAATTTAAAAGTTAAGAAATTAAAAGCAGAGTAACTCAGTAATAGTGATATCCATATTCTCTTTAA